GCAGGAAACTTTGGTGATGCACTGGCTGGTGCAGCATCTTGGCACTGCTGAAAGGTTTATGTGAGTGCAATGGTCTCTTCCTCTAGCGAGTGGAGGGCTAGGAAAGAAGGTACAAGCCCAGGCACCTGACAAGACACCTGTGGCTTTGGAGCCAGGCCGTGAGCTTTATCCCATGTGTTTCGTTAGCTGATGTCTATCTGTTAATGTACCATGTATCACCACAACTCACACACCCTGCCCTGCGAGGTGCCAAGCTGCCTCTGTTCTAACTGCACTCATCATGCTGCAGGATCTGGTCAGCCTCAAAACCGACTACACCCAACCCCTCTCCTAAGGATGCAGGGGTTTAAAGAGCACAGTCCAGGCCACATTTCCAATGAGAAGGAGCTTTGAAATTGCCAATAAAAATACAACAGCATTCAGTTCCCCTAAGCCTTGCCCTCCAAGGCCCAACCCCTCCCAATGCTCCACGGTGGGAAGCTGTGAATTGTTCATTAGGTATCCAAGCTGCATCAGAGTTATTCCAAGCGGAAGGCCTGGAGAACCTTTACAGGAAGCCCTGGACGGCGAGTCACAGCATTAGCATTGATTTTAAATGGAAGAAAGGCCCCCACCGAACATGAAAAGCATTCTTTGTAAAAAGCAAACAAGGTAGAAAAGAGCGACTGAACCCAGAGCTCTGGCATGCCTCCAGGACCCCAGCTCTCCAAAACGCTAACCAAGGCAACCTCCCCATCCTCAGTGTTGGATGCTATTCCAGGATTTGCTGCAGGTTCAAGAGGCACGATGCACCGCTCCATGAACATGGCCAATTAGTCCTGTGTCTGCATGATTCTGCTATGCAACACCATCAGCATTTAAGCTAGCTTCCACCTGCAAGAGAACTGCTGTCCCGGCTCTGTGAGATCACCTACAGATGCATCTCACCTTCCTTGTCACCAACAACCGGGCTCCTGCTCTGTCCTCTGGGGCTACTGCTTGGCTGCTGCTCCTGCTCTGGCTGCTGCTGCTTGCTTGGGGCCACATCCTCTCGGGCAGATTCATGGGCTTTAGTGATCTGCTGCTGGTAGAGGGCCAAGGCATGGTGAGGCACCTGGGGCTTCATGCTTCCACTCTGTGACGTCCCGTCTAGGAATCCCTCGGAAATCTACAGCGGGAGCAGAGAGAATGGGATGGGAGAAGCAGGGCATATTGTGGCAGCTGTTGTGAACATCCATGAGGTTTTCTCCCTAACACAAGACCTCATCTCCTTTCTGGGGAGCTTCTCTCCCACCACCTCTGCAGACACACAGCTCAGTTCCCCAGGTTATGCTCCAAGGGTTTTCTAACCAGGCTACTGCGCTTCCTAGCACAGGAAGCAAATGAGAGCGAAACAGCATGTTTAGCTTTGGCTGCAAGGCTGTCACCCTGTTTGGGGAATGCTTTGGGGAGCCTCTGATTTGGCTGGTCTAAGGATTGTGATCTGTAGCTCAGGCCTGGAAACTTATAAGGGGTTTCAATGCTATGCACTGATCTCAAGTCATGTGGTGGAGACGCGCGAAAGGACAATGTGAGCTTTTTGTTTGTAACTCCCTCTTCAGATCACCAAAGCACAACATGAGTTTGGCCATTTCCCACTCTGCAAGCACTGCTCCCCCGGCTTAAGTCTGATGAAGAATAATTAGGCTGGCTTCCCCGTCCCACTTCATAGTGAGAGCCCCCAGCAACAACGATCAGAGTGGAGAATGCACCTTCTCGGGGGGCTGCTGCTAAATAGCTAAGCGGGTGGAACACAGAGAGGATTTTGGTGGGACCAACCAAAATGGCACCTCTCTCTCGGCTGATGTGGAATTACTGATTTCAGTGACCCCTGTGGAATTCGAGAGTAGCACATCAGCAGTGCGGCTCTGGAGCTGATGTGTAACTGCACTTGCAATCTGGCCCTTTGCATTGGGAGATAAAGGAAAGCACAGGCTGTGAAAAGTGTGCATGGCTGGGTTTTTCCCAACGAAGGCAGCCTGCGGCTGGGCAGCAGTGACAAGGTTTCTTAAAAAGAAACTTGTGATACAATCCAATATCTACAGGGAACTTTCTCAGAAGCTAGGCAGGAGCTGTCTACACTCATTGGCTCCCCCGTGCCCTTCGCACAACATTCACAGAGAACTGTGCCTGACACCCTGGGGTTATCACCCATCCATGGAAACACAGCTCTGGGCCCATGCTTGAGCACTGATGCCCACTTCCAGTCTCATTCTTTCACACATGATCCTTGTGCAAACATCAGAAACCCAGCACCCACACGGGAACAGGCAGGCACACACAAAGGCAGGCAGACACCCGTGCACAACTGTGCACAAGGCAAACTTTTGCTTGGTGCCCTCAGCCCCATGGGACGCAGAACTTGGAGGGGAATGAGCCTCTTTCCTGGAGCAAAACGGAATCAGCTGAGGTGAGTGTTTGGTCTGGTACTTACGATGGGGGGGATGGCAGCAGCTCTCTGCTTCAGCTGCTTCAGGTCCAGTGGTTTCTGAGGGGAAGAGTTCAGCCGGGCATCAGTGGTAGCGTTGAGGAGGCCG